TGAGGCTAACATTACCCTGGTACCAAAACCTAGTAAAGATCACACACACACACAAAAATGACAGAACAACATTTCTGAAAAATACAGATGTAAAAATTCTAGCAAACCGAAGACAACAATGCATTGAAAGATTATACATCATGATCAAGTGGGGTTCATCCCAGGGGCACAAGGAAGGTTCAACATCCTTGCTAATTGGTCAATGTGATATACCACATAAACAAAATAAAAGATAAGAATCATGATTATATCGATAGATGCAGAAAAAGCATTTGACAAGATACAACATCATTTATGATTAAAACACTTCATAAAATGGGTATAGAAGGAAAATACCATAACATAATAGAGGCCATATATGACAAACCCTCAGTTTATATAATAATTCAGGGTGAAAAACTGAAGCCTTTCCTCAATGGTCAGGAGCAACACAGACTTTTCTCCTATCACCACTGTTATTCAATTGTAGTCGTGGAAGTCCTAGCCAGAGCAATCAGGCAAAAGAAAGAAATAAAGGCATCCAAATTGGGAATAAAGAAGCTAAATTATCACTTGTTGAAGATGACATAATGCTATATATTGAACACCCTAAAGACTCCACCAAAAAGCTATTAGAAACAATAAACGAATACAGTAAAATTGCCAGGTACAGAAACCAATGCGCAAAAATCCATTGCATTCCTATACACTAACAATGAAATTTAGAAAAATAAATGAAAAACACAATTCTTTTGCAATTGCAACAAAAACAATAAAATACCTAGGAATAAACTTAACAAAAGATGTGAAGGACCTATCACAGAGAACTATAAGACATTTTTAAAAGAAATTGAAGAAGACACAAAGAAATGGAAAGACATTCCATGTTTATAAATTGGAAGAATCAACATAGTTAAAATGGCCATATTATTCAAAGCAATATACAGGTTTAATGCAATCTCCATCAAAATCTCAATGGCATTTTTTAAAGATACAGAGCAAAAAATCATCCGATGTGTATGGAATCACAAAAGACCCTGAATAGCCAAAGCTATTCTAAGAAACAAGAATATGGCTGGAAGTATCACACTCCCTGATTTCAGCTTGTACACCACAGCAACAATAATCAAAATAGCATGGTATTGGCAGAAAAACAGACACACAGACCAATGAAATCGAGTTGAAAACCCAAAAATAAACCCACATAAAGATGGACAGATAATTTTTTTTTAAGATTTTTATTGGGGAATTGGGGGAAGGGGAACAGACAAGTTGCTATCCTTTGTTTTTTTGTTCTTCATTCTAGTTGTGGAGGACGTTGCTTCACTGGCCCATCATTGCACTCTTCCCAGGCGAGGCAGATCAGTCGCCGGATTCTGGATGGCTGCTCACAGTGGCTGCTGGCTGCTCACGCTGGCTGCTGGCTATACACGGTAGCCCATGGCAACCCTCCTGCCATCACAGGCGACTCACGGCAGCCCAGCTCCAGGTTGAGCTGTTGTTCAGCATCTTAACTGTAGAGGGCAGTGTCACTGGCCCTCATATGTGGGATCCGAACCNATCTTAACTGTAGAGGGCAGTGTCACTGGCCCTCATATGTGGGATCCGAACCGGGGCCCTCTGGCGTCCCAAGCCAGCTCTTAAACAATGCGCCACTCAGCCGGAACTGGACAGATAATTTTTAACAAATGAGCCAAAAACTTACAATGGAGGAAAGAAATCCTCTTCAGTAAATGGTGCTGGCCAAATTGAAAAGCCACATGCAAAAGAATGAAACTAGAATGCTTTCTGTCACCATGTACCAAAATTAACTCAAAATGGATGAAAGACTTAAAAATAACACCTAAACAATTAACTGCATAAAAGAAAGCATAGGTACTAAATTTATGGACCTTGGGTTCAAAGAGGATTTTATTAATTTGACCTCAAAGGCAAGAGAAGTAAAAGCTAAAATAAATGAAAGGGACTGTGTTAAACTAAAAGGCTTCGGAACAGCAAAAGAAGCCACCAACAAAACAAAGAGTCAACCAACCGAATGGGAGAAGGTACTTGCAAACAACACCTCTGATAAGGGGCCAATATCAAAAATATGTAAGATGGGCTGGCCAAGTGGCTCAGCTGGTTAAGAGCTCGCTTGGGAGCACCAGCTCTGAGCAGCAAGGCTGCAGTTTGGATCCCACATTGAGGGCCAGTGACGCTCGCCCTCTACAGCTAAGATGATGAACAACAGCTCGACCTGGAGCTGGGCTGCTGTGAGTCGCCGGCAACAGTATAGGCTGCAGCGGGGCTGCAGTGGGCTGCCGTGAGCTACATGAGTGGCTGGCAGCCAGCGTGAGTGACCGGCAGCCGGTGTGAGCTGCCGAGAGCTGCTTTGAGTGGTCTACCAATGACCAGCGAACAATTGTCTCACCCGGGAAGAGCACAATGATGATACCAACATGGGCCAGTGAAGCGATGTCCTCCACAACTAGGCTGAAGAACAACAACAAAAAAAATACAGCAATGTGTCTACCTGCCTGTTACCCTTCCCCGATTCCCCAACTCTGTTTCCCTCCCCCCAATCTCCCAATAAAATCTTTATTAAAAAAAACAATGTAAGAAACTCATACAACTCAACAACTAAAAGACAAACAATCCAATTAAAAAATGGGTAAGGACATGAACAGACACTTCTCCCAAGAAAACAGACCAACAGCCAACAGATATATGAAAAGATGCCCAACTTCACTAGCTATTAGGGAAACGCAAATCAAAACCACAATGAGATATCACCTCGCACCTGTTAGAATAGCTATCATCAGCAAGACAAATAATAACAAGTGTTGGAGAGGATGTGGAGAAAAAGGAACCCTCATACACTGTTGATGGGAATATAGATTGGTGCAACCAACACGGAAGGCAGTGAGGAGGTACCTCAAAAATTTAAGAATAGAATTACCATATGACCCAGCAATCCCTCTCCTGGGTATATACCCAGAAAACCTGAAAACATTTATCTGTAAAGATATATGTATTCTGATGTTCATTGCAGCTTTATTTATGGTGGCCAAAACATAGAAACAACTGAAATGTCCTTCAACAGATGATTGGATAAAGAAGATGTGGTATATATACACAATGGAATACTACTCTGCCATAAGAAAAGATGAAGCAGTGCCATTTGTGACAATATGGATGGATCTTCAGATTATTATTATAAGCTAAATAAGTCAGACAGAAAAAGTCAAGAACCATATGACTTCACTCATATGTGGGATATAAAACTGAAAGCAACAAAGGAACAATACATACAAATAAACAGAAACTCATAGACACAGACAACAGTTTAGTGATTATCAGAGGGTAAAAGGGGAGGAAGATAGTAGAAGAGGGTAAAGGGGGTCAAATATGTGGTGATGGAAAGACAACTGACTCTGGGTGGTGAACACACAATGTGATATGTAGAAGATGTATTATAGAATTATACACTTGAAACTTATTTAATTTTACCAGCCATTGTCACCTCAATAAATTTAAATGTTTTTCAATTGAAAGGTAAAATATAGACAATTTAAAATCAAGATATAAACAGAAAGAAATTATTATTTTAATAATAATAATAATGAAAGAGAATTTTAAGATGATAGATTTATGGCATATATTGTGGTAATGGCTTCACAGACATGCTTATCTTGAAAGTCATCAAGTTGTATACATGAAATATGTATATCTTTTCATATGTCAATCATACCGCAATAAAATAGCTTTAAATTAAAATAATTGTTTTGTTTTGTTTTGTTTTAGGGCCCCAATTAGCATCATCAATGATCTGCTGAAGGTGAGTTCAAAAAAGACCCCTTTGCCAGTGATCTTCCCCATGTATAACAAGAGTTGGTTGGCTATGAGGTCAGTCTGTTGGGTGGCTAAGGACCTATTGCAAATGTACTCAGGTCTCCACCTGTTTCACCATCCCATCAGATGAGATGGCCCTTATCTGACACCCAATCACATACCTTAGGGAATTCACTGTGATATCTGATCATATCTTCCCCAAGTTAGCTGTTCTGATGGTGTTAGTGTCTTGGACATTTCATGAACCATTCTGATAACAATTGGAAATATCTCTGGCAAATACTGAGACCACCCATTTATATTCTAGTTTCATTGCTGTCTTCACTGCCTCCACTTTGGCATAGGTCAAATACACTTAGACAGTATTGAACCTCGTATGTGCCACTTCAGGCTCTCTTGGCCTCACTGTCTAGTACTTGCTTTGCTCCAGCTACTGTATTGTGAATTTTAAAACTTCATATTTTCCCTCTGCCTCAACATCCCCACAAACAGGCTGTGAGCGCCCAGCCCAGTAACCAGGTGCACCAATGTGATAAGGCTGACCCCTGCCACAAGTTCCGCTACTTGCCCTTTCCTGACTGTGACCTAGTCCCATTCAAACACAACAACGAATTCCCCTTATGCCTTTTGCTTGTGTATGCCACCCTGACCCCCAATATAATTTATTTATTCATGGGTCTTCACTCTCTCTCTTGGCTCTCCACCTCCATGGTTGAGTCCGCTTTCTTGGCATTTTTTCCATGTGGTCCCCTTGTGGCATTAAGTGACTCTGTCTCTCTAGGACTTGTGAGAATAACGAGCTTTGTTTTCCTGTGCCTCTCCCATGACCTCTTTTGTGGATGCACCTCACCACCTCATGAAAGAATACAAATAGCTACCATGATGAAACTAGTTCATACAGCTACAACTCAGCACATGTACTTATATAAAACTTTTGACCCCACCTCCCTACCTCTCATGACACACCACAGAGATGAAGGGTCCAGTGATTCATAGGTCTGGACCCTTTACTGTGCATGGCCAAGCAAGCCCTTATGCTCCCTCGAGTACCTAATACTTTAGGAATCAGTGTGTGACTGATCTTCACCCAAGTATGCTCTAAAGGCTGTGATCCCATATTCTCAGTTATTCTGGGAATGAGACTGAGGTTATTCCTGCTGAGATCCCCTGCCAGACCAGACAGGCCTTACCTGAGCAGACTACTCCAGCATTCCAGATATACCTACTGTTGTACAAACGAAAATAATGATGACAGTCTTTAACAGTTGATTCTGTCCCTTTACAAGAAAACAACAAAGTGAGCCCAGCCCCTGATTCAAGAGGAGGCTTTCTGGAAGTGTCAACAGCATCTCCACATTCCAGCTGTCTGCACACCACAGCTGCATTCTTCAAGGACCAGCTGTAATCACCCACTGTGCCCCATATTCCTTCCTGCTTCACTTCCACTCTCCCCTCACAGCGGTGGCCTCCATTCTTCAGCCTCAGCTCCACCACTGCAAGAGAGACACAGACACAGAACACAGGACACAGGAGAGATTTTTAAAGGCCATGCAGTAGCATGCTGGTAAGTATTTAAAAATGAGTTCTCTGGGGTAAAAAAAAATCCCTGATGTATAGCATTTATTGATTTCTGCAGTGTAAATATCCCACCCCCCCAAAAAAAAAGCTACCAATGTGGCATCACTAAACATGGAGTTGGAAAGAGATGCACACAATTATTTCCCACAAGCTAGTAGGACCCAGCTCCAGGCACACCACTGAAGACAGGCCTTCAGAGGACTCTGGATGCAGCCATCCCAGTAGATATGCCTGAGGCTGGTAGGGGCCCAGCTTTACCCTCTCAGTTATAGTTCATGGCCCATGGGGCTAGTGGAGGAATCTTCCCTCTCTTCTGTCCCATTGGGAGCACTCTCATCTAGCTTTGAAACAGAGAGCTGTGTTTAACGGTCTCTAAAATGTCCTGGTTATTCCTGCCTCCTGGTATTCACACCCTTATATAATCTCCCCCACAGTTGAATGTGGGCTGAACCTAGTAACATACATCTAATACATGGAATTTGGCAAAAATGATGAGATGTCACTTAAGAGTTTAGGGTTCAAGAAGACTAGTTTCTTTCTTGTTGAACTGTCTTGCTCTGATTAAGCCAGCTGCTATAATGGGAGCTGCTTATGGAGAGGCTCACATGGCAAGGAAGTGAGGGAGGCCTCCAGCCAACAGCCAGCAACACACTGAGGCTCTTAATCAAACTGTCCACCAAGGCCTCAATACTGCCAATCACCAGGTGAATAAGTTGGACCCCCAGTTGAACCCTAAGATGATTGTCGCCTTGTGAGAGATCATGAGTTACAGGGCCCAGATAAGCCATGCCCAGATTTCTGTCCCACAGAAACTATGAGATACTAGACGTTTACTATTTTAAACTACCAAGTTTAGCAGTAACTTGTTGCACAGCAATATGTAACTAATTTAGGGGTTCCTTCCAGAGTCAGGAAATAGCAGAGTGGACAAGCTGAGCTTTATATGAGTGGCTTAACTGCTTCATCAAAATAAAACTTCTTCTTGAGGGACTAATTCTGTGACCTTGGTCCTACCTGGAACTGAGACCCAAACTACCTCTCTTGTCATATTTGTTTCTCATTTAATAACCTAGGTTCCTGCTTTCCTGTCAAGAACAGAGAAGTGAGTTTCCTGAGACCCTAGAATCATCTCCATTGACTTTGAATTGGGGTCATCACAATGAGAAATTTTTTTTATTATCTAATCAGGACTCTGTCCCTGGGGTATCCATACACTGCTCAGGTCTATGCCTGGCTCCATATGCTTCCACTCTGGAAAACAGAAGTGATGCACCAAAGACGGTGATGTCTGGAAAGATGCTGAATGTGAAAAGAATGCTGGTGCATTGGTCTGCTCAGGCAGGCCATCACAACACAATACCATAAGACTGTGTGGCTTAAACAACAGAAATGTATTTATTTTCTCATAGTTCTGAAGTCTGGGAAGTCCAAGATGAAGGTGCTAGCAAGGCAATTTTTATCTGAGACCTATTCTCTTGGCTTGCAGGCCACTCTCATCTCACTGTGTGCTCACATGGCTTTCTCACTACTTGTGCACAGGGAGAGAGGAAGAGAGAAATGTCTCTCTCTTTTTCCCATCTGATAAGACCACCAGTCCTATTTATTGAATTAGGGCCCCACCCCTATGACCTCATTTAACTTTAATTTTCTCCCAAAGACTTCGTCTCCAAAGACAGTCATTTGGGGGGCCAGGACATCAAAATATGAATTTTGGAGGGGCACAATTCAGTCAATACCACCTGGGGAGATCTATTCTAGGAAGGAAATAAAGATAAACAGGAAGGAGGTAAAGGACGTAGTAGAAGAAGGAAGACGTCCTATGATGCTTACTCAGAGTTTTTTAAAAGTCTGACATTAAGGTAAGAGTAAAAGATTTAAATAGACCCTAGAAGGATACAAGAAGCTACTTTTACTAATACTAAAGTTATTATTGGGAGCAGTTTTTTTACTAAATGATGTAAATACAGAAAATAATAAGACAATGTTCTTGCCTTCAGATAGCCTATATCTAGTTGGTGACACAAACAAACAGATGATTTCATTACTCTGAAAAGTTCCAGGAGACTTTCTCAGTAATAGTAGACATGGTTCTTGAGGCTATCTTTTCTACTGAAAATAAATGAGTGGAATAAAATATACTAAAAGTTATCTTAAACCAATTTAAAAACCTGATAAGATGAAAAGGAAAAATAAGGAAAAATGTGAAACAAAAATGAGAATTCATTGAGATACAGGAGCATGGAATGTGCTTTTTCCCTGAGGACATTAGTCTATCCAAGAAAATGTGTGGTGTTTTTTTTTTTATGGCCTCTGATGGTGAAGATGCATAAAACAAATCCCAAATCCACACCCAGATGAGACATCTAACAAAAAACATTCTCCACAATAGGCCAGTATACCAGCTGAAATAGACATGTCCTTGTATGGAATTAGATTCAGAGTTTGAATCTCTAGATTGTCCAGTTAATATCAGATTTTTCACTTGTATTAAGGTGGTTCACTACTGATAATACCATAAAATGATTTCTAAAAAGAAAAAGAAAACCCTCTCTACAGGAAATTACTTTCATCCTAGATGTCAAATTAATTCCATAAATAATTTTTATAAATAAAGTGACCAGTACATTGTCAGAAATAAATAGGCACACAAAGAAACAAAGGTCCATTAACAAGAACCAAAAGAAACTACTGAGACAGACACAGAGATCTGATTTTAGATACATCAGGTATTAGGTTTTATAACACATTTATATTCAAGAATACACTTATGTATAATACATATAACATGTTTGAAGAAACAAAATATACTCTTAAAATCTCTTCACAAAACTAGAAAATGCATATAAAATTTGTTAACACAAAAAAATAACTTCTGTGAATGAAAAATATATTTATTGAGATTAAAATTTTTGGATCAGATTAAACTCAGGTAAAGAGAGAAATAGTGAAGTGACAATAAGTCGGAAGTTATCTGGAATGTTGTACAGAGGAGCAAAATGATGAAAATAAAGGAGGATCAGCAAACAAAACAGAATAAGAAAGTTTAAAACACATGAAATTGAAATGTGGAAAGGAAGAGACAGAGAGATAAAGAAAGGGAAAATTGAGCAGAGGCAATATTTGAAAAATATAGGCTGAGAATTTTCCAGAACTGATGAAAGAAAAAAATTGTAAGAGTGAATAAGCCCAACAAAACTCAAGCAACATATATAAAAAGAAATTCATTCATTTGTACACACATCATAGATGTGGTAACATTACTAGTGTTCATCAATATTTCAAATTCTCTTATTCTGGGCATGTGGAAATATTAATACTTCCTTGCCTGATTGAAGTTAAGCATAACCATGTGACCTGGTTTATCCAATGAAGTGTGAGAACAAATGGTGTGTGTCACTTTCAGATAGAAACAGTTAAGAGTCAATACAGCAGGGCCTCGAGTAACATGTTTCATTCAATGTTGTTTTGTTATAATGTTGAGGAGAAAAGAAATCAGTTCCCAGGCACGGTCACTGTCCATGTGGAGATTTTGCATTCTCCTAAAGTCTGTGCAGGTTTTCTCCAGGTAGTCCAGTTTCTTCCCACATCTCAAAGATGTGCACATTAGGTGAACTGGTTTGTTTAAATTGTCCCAGTCTAAGTGAGGATGGGCGTATATGTGAGCACACCCTGCAATGGAATGGCATCCCACTCAGGGTTGGTTCCCACCTTGTACTCTGAACCACTCCTTGCCCACACCCACAATGCTGAACTAGAATCAACAGGTTGGAAAGTAATTATCTGACTTGTTTCCATTTTCTTAAATATATGAATAGCTAACATTGACTTCAATGTTTAAAGTTAGAAGTGTTTTGGTTCTTTACTTAGAAGTTTGGTGATGCTTTGTGGCTGGAAATATGACATAGAAACTTACTCTTGTTTACATCAATTAGCCTATGGTAAAATTGGTTTTATTATGTGTTGTTTCACTTAAAGTCATAGTTTCCAAGAACTTATTCATGACATTAAGTGAGGATTTACTGTATATGCTTCTACCACAGCAAATCCTGCTGCCTTGTGTTGAGGTGGTGGCATAATAAGATGTAGGGCATTCAACAACCCAAGTAGTTGAATAATTATGATAAGCAGAGGCCCTCTCAAACTGAATAAAACATGTAGTGTAAAAATAAATTTTGGCTATTTGTTACTACAACATAATCTACCTTATTCTTGCTAAAATGATAATAAACAGCAGAAAATGACAAAGAGAAAATTATTAAGATAGAAACTTGATATATATTACCTCAAATTGGAAAACATTTAAGTTGGCAAGAATAAGAAATGTTTGTATACAGTAGACTGAAACCTTAGATGTGTTAAAAAAAACTTGCCAATCTAAAATTCTATACTCAAAAATATTTTGTTAAAGTACAAGGGCCTCAGAAGCAACATCAACAAAGTGGAGATATAGGAGACACCAGCCTCCATCCCCCCAACAAAGATCAACAATTAGATAGCTGTCCACAAACCAAAACAGTTATGGGAAGGCTTTGCAGACACGAAATTTCAGCAACATGAAAACACCTTCATTTTGCCTGCATCATCCCATCCCCCAAGCCATTGTTACCCAATGCCAAAAGCATCAAGAGAGTTTCCCTCACCAGGAAAATAAGATCAGACTGAGCAACCAGCTTTCATAGCCTTCTGTAGCACCACATGAAAGTCCTACTTCAGTCTCAACTCACCCAGACTGGCAAAACTGAGATGGACAGAGATGACCAGGAATGAAGAAGAAAAGCAGGGGAGACAAACAGCAGCCATGCATCAGGAGGAATCACAGTTCACAATAACCTGCCTACAGATAAACAGAGTAGATTTTACCACTGAAAAAATTAATAGCCCACATAGATGCTGCATATCTTCTGCAAATTTCACCACATTTAGCCTCACAGTATACACATTCACTGACACTCACCTCTGGGATCCTTCCCTGCTCCCTGCCCTTCCACTTCCTCTGGAGCCTAGGAATAGCACTGGCAGCCTGCTCACACCCCTGGGGGGGCATGAATGTAAAACATTAGCCTAAACCCACAGGACTGACCCTCAACACCATGCAGGTGCTCAGGGCCAGACTCTCCAACTGTGCACTTGCTTATCACCAGTCTGACACCCATCACCAGCCTCCACTACAGTGCCCAGGCCCAGGGAAGAGTGTACAGCCATGGGAGAGCATACCAAGAACCAGGGCCTTCACAGCTACCAGTGAGACCTTAGTTGGCCCAGGCCCTCACTGTTTTCCCAGGCCCCCACCACCACATGTGTGTCTGCAACTGGCACCTCCCCTACACAGGCACCTGCAGCTAGCCCCCGAAGCCAAATGTGTGCACTCCACTGGTTCTGGCCACCACTGCTACCTGCCATCATCCCTAGCCACTGGACCTTGAGGCGCTGCTGAGGTTGGCCCTTGCAACCACTGAAGGACCCCAAAATGCTTATCAAAGTCCACACAGTTGTCAATGCTGTAGATATTAGCAACCCGATCCAAAAAGACATGACAGACCCAGACCTAGTGCCACCACTTGTCTCTGCACCTGGCACCCTGCACCAATAGAGTCAGGGTCATAGCACAACCCAGTGTGCCTCCAACTGCAGGTGAAAGGCTTCCCCTAACTATTGAAGTCAGTCCATAAAATCTGGAAGAAGTGACTTCTTCTTCAAATGTGCAGACACCTTCAAGAGACTAGATATCATAAAGAATCAGGGAAACAAAATTATACCAGAGGAATGCAGTAAACCTCCAGTAACTAGT